CCTCCAGGTGAGCCTTGGAAGACAGGACCCCAAGACTCATCCACTAGTCAGTCACCAAAAAGGCTGCAAGCTTGGCTTTTTCAGAAGCCATAGAGATATTCAGGAGAGAAAGGAAAGGGCACACAGTGACCACAAGAAAACATCATGCTTTCTTCGTAACAAGGGATACTCCTAAGTTGATGACTGCTCCTCTGAAAAAAACTGAAAGATATATAAAACATGGAAGCCATGCTCAAGAGACTAAGATGGGAAAGCAAGTTACATAGGCCCCAAAACCAGTGGCCAGTGGGAATCAGTGTGCCCCATGCCACTTCTCAAGGCCAGGCTGGTAGCAAGACCCACCACCTAGGAGATGGCAAGGAGACAAAAGTCACCTCTGCTGCCCTCAGTGTGCTCACACTTACAATGAGACTCCATTGTACCCCATGTGTGTGGGGGGGGGGGGCAGACACAGCCAGGCTTGGGCAGGAGACAGCTCCAGTCAGACTGGTCCAGACACTGCTCTTCCTGCTTGGCCACAGGATGTCAGAGCAAAGCTCTGGGTCCCAGCTCAGCCTCAACAAGCTCCACAGCTCGAGAATTATGCTGGCTGCGCCCGAGGTTCTGTAGTCTCACCTGCAGGTGGACCACAGTTGCCACTACAAGACATGCCCAGCATGTCAAGCAGGACACAGCTGAGACCACACACACCCCCGCTGTATGCACTGAGCACCTGCTGGCTATTGCCACAGGCCCCAGGGACACAGCTGGGGGACAACTGAACCAAACCCCTGCACTCAAGTTCATAGCCCAAGACAATAGAGAAAAATAGAACAATAAATAAAACCCTGGGGGGCAGATGGCACTGAATTCTACAGAGAGAAAGTAATGGCATGGGAGGAGGGGCATGGCTTTGCCACCATGAGCAGTGGGTGCGGCAGTGGGGCAGGGTCTATGGGGAAGAAGTGGCATTTGGGCAGCACATGAACATGGAAAGTAAAGGGTTGTGTACCCTTTCTGGGAAGGAGTACATTCCAGATAGGGGAATGGTGCATACATAGGCCCCGATGTAGGGCAGGCCTGACGTGTTGTGAGCATGGCAAGGAGAGAAGCAAAAGTAAGAGTGTGCTGGGAGGGAGGCCAGATTGGAACCATGGAAGCTCTGCTACCCAGGGCAGGTCAAGCACACAGGAAGGACCCAGGCAACAACAGCCTGCCACTCCGCACCTTTTACTGTTTATCCTCTAACCATCTCCAGGTCTGAGTTCCTCAGAGAGACAAGGCCACAGGAGAGGACTAAAGGGGACCCTTCAGACACCCAAATCCTGGAGTTGATATTAAGGGGCTTCCGAGCTAGTCCCGCAAGGCTGCACCCACCATTGGGAAGCAGCTGAAAGCCAACGAGAGCAGAGCTGCTCCTGGGACAGCTGAGAAAGGCCTTCCTGTGCCTGCTGGCCAGGCTCATGGAGCTGTGTCTGGCACTGAAGGCTAAAGAGGGTACAGGGCCAGGGTCTCTGGGGTCCCCGCAGCCTCACGCTGCCTCTGTAGTTGTCACCTTGGCAGTAAAGCAGGAAAACTCACTGTGGGTGAGAATGGGCACAAAGAACAGCCCAGAGTGGGAGGCCAGAATCGGAGGCCACTTCCATGGGCACCCACCTCTCTCTAACTGGTTCCCTTTCACCCAAAGGAAGACTGGGCCGCAATTAGATCCCCAGGGCTCGGGCAGCAAGAGCGCACAGCTTCGTGGGGTCCCCAGGGGACACTCCCAGTTTTGCTGAGCTGCACCCCTCTTAGAGACATGCTCAAAGGCTTTCTTCCCCTTCTCCTTCCTGGGTATCTCAGAGCTTCTCAGCTTCAGTCCTAAAAACTGAGGCCAGGAGAGGCATCTATGTGTTCCTTACTCACCAACCTCCCTGGCAGCCCGGCTGCCCTCAAACCAGGTCTTCCCTACAGAGTGAAAGCTACTTATTAAATGCTCACTTACTGTTTCTGTGTGCCGGACACTCTAGACCTCACGCCCACTGCAGCTCATGCTACATCACAAGACGGCTGCCACTGGGGCCTTGGGAAATGTCTACAGAACACTAACTGCATGTCACACCTTCAACAGGTCCCAAAAAAAGCAGCTTTCTGGGATCTAGGAAGGCAGACAGGCCCTAGGGCTTAGTGGAAACTGCCTGAGGGAGGAGGCCAGACCAGTATACAAATGCCCTCAGCCAATGTGTCTGAGCAGCAGAAGGGTGCAGCCTGTTCCTGAGAGAGCCCTAGGCTCAGGGTCAGAAACACACAGGCTACACAGAAGCGCCAATGCCTCCTGGCCTCCATTCCCATCCGTATAATGGAGCCAATACAGCCTCCTGCACTGGCAGGCCATTAACAAATTAAATTAGCTGGTCCAGCTCTGGGCCCTCGGCTCCTCCCTCCTGGGGCTAATTCCCCCGGAAAAGCCCCTTCATCACCACAGCTCCTCTGAAGCAGCAGCCGTGCCTGAAGCCCAGTCCCAGACAGCTCCCTTCATTCTTGCTTTATCCTCTGTCTTCCCCTGCTGCCTGCCGACCTCCCCCACTCCTCCCAGCAACCCCCCCCCCCCGCAAGAAGTGGGCTCAAGCTTCCCCGTCCTGCTGTCCATGAGCAGGACAGAGCCCCTTGTCTGCCTTCCCTCAGTATCAATCCCTGGCAGGGCTCCAGTGACAGGCCACAGGGGAGGGGCAAATGTGTCCATGTTTCACTCACAGCAAAGCCCTGACCGAGGCGGAGCCACAGGGACCAGCTGTAGCTGTTGAAGGAAGGCTCTTGCCCAGAGCAGGAGTCAGGAGCAGGGAACTGAGATGACTACTGAGCAAGCCCTGCAGTATAGTAGCAGACCCTGCCTGGGGACGGGCAGAGACCACAGAGACTGCTGGGAGCGGTGACGCAGTCACTTCCACCCTAGCTGTGTGCCAAGGCCTCTGGGTGCCATGACGGGTAGTGCCAACTATGGCCCCAGGCACTGGAGGCCTGGCTGAGCCAGAGGAAAGTGTCCGCAGGCTGCACTGGCCCGGTTGTCGCAGAGCTGAGAGGTGCCCCTGTGGCCAGGGTTGTCACTGTTATTGCTGCCATTGTTAGCTCACTGCCAGAGGGCCGCTGAGTGCTACCTGGTCTAGCCTGGAACAGAGGGGAGAGAGACGGCAGTTCTGGAAGGAAAGCCTCCGCTTTGACCTCACGTGTTGCATGGCTCTGGAAGCACCTGCTGTAAACACTTCCCGGAGCACAGCACAGCCTCCTGAACCTCCCTCCACTGGGCACATACCTACATGGGGCCCTGCCTAGGGAGCCTGGTTGCAGAGGACTCATCCATCACCCCATCGGGCCCACCCAACCCAAGACAGAGGAGAACAACCAGGGCTTGAAGTTCACGCACGCCAGGCCTGTACCAACACTGCATTTACAAGGTACTTTCTGTGTTCATCTATCAGGGCCCCAGTGGAGAAGATGGTCCTGCTCTGTTGTCTAGCACACCAGAACTACCTACCTTATCCCCAAGGATATCTGAGCCTCTCCCCGTTCTCATTATACTGAGGCTGGTCCAGTGGGCCCCATGCCCACAGCTATGCACTTATTCTCACAAGTGGCTCAGCCTGTCTAGGGTCACCTACTATGATAGAGAGCCTTGTGTCTCCTGCTATTTGGAAAGACCTCTTGAACACAGAGGATGATTTTGCTGAGAAGTCTCTTCGGGGTTTCCCTATAGTCCCTGAGGGGTCTCTACTGGGAATACAAAGCATGGGATCTTCGAAGAGGAACCTGGTACCCAGATTTGCCTCCCCTCCCTGACCCTCTCGTGTCACATGGGCAGATTTTGGTGAGGGGTCCCGAGTCAGCTATCTGGTGTAGCGCCAGGCTGGAGTCTAGTCAGGTGGGACAGCAGCCAGGGCAGATTTTTGCTCATTTCTCGGAGAGGGTATAAAGGCCAGGAGGCTAAGCCTTCTGGGTTCCCACCTTGGAGGAGGCGGCAGCTGATTTCAGTGGCATGTGGGCGCCCAGGCAATCCAGAGAGCTGAAGCCTTCTAGCCGGTGCTCAGGAGGCGGATGTGAGGACCAGAAAGTCCCCAGATCTTTACTGCCGGCTTGGGGACAGGTAGTAAGGAAGAAGCTAGAAAGGGCCAGAAAGGCAGGCCCCGACCCAGCAGGCCCACACCGTAGGGAGGCAGAGCCTCCCAGAACTGAAGGCATTCACCGACCGCGACACTGTTCCTGTGAGCTCCATTCCCAGAACCAGTTCTAAGGTATTCACGTGCGCACAAACTAAGGCCGGGACACTCCTGAGGGCCTACACACCCCAAAGCTCTTTAGGGGCCCTCCGCCCCAACTCCCCACAGGTCACCAGAACGGACCTGTGCGCCCACGAGAGACCGACCGTCTGCTCTGAGCCACCGTGGGTTTCTCAAGATCGACTCTTAGAAGCAAAAGGTGCCTTGGACTTGCAGGCTAGAGGGGTGGTGAAGAATCACCTCTAGGATATTTTCACTCCGCCACAGCACGGGCGGTGGGGAAGAAACGACTCCAACGATCCCCGGTCTTAGCGGGGGCCATTCTCAGGTCGCGGGTCAAGCCGGTGCACTCCTTCCCGATCACAGGTCTCTCGGGTAAGGTCACGCCTAGGACCGACGCCGCGCGCAAAAGTGGCTCCGCCCGCTGCCTTGGGAGCCCCCTCCATCCAGCCGACCCGGGAAGAATCAAGAGCTCCTCAAAGTTTCCCAGAGTCTCCCACCACCACCACCATCACACACACATCACACGCACACACGCCCTGGGACGGAGGTTAGCCGGGAGCGAAGTTCCCTGGTGGCCGTAGCCCGGAACATGGCAGGGGAAGAAAAGCTCGCTGTCAGCATTTCATCCGGTGGTTCACCAAGGGGAAGGAGAGAAAAAGGAACGGAAGGAGCCCTTCTGCCTCCCCTTCCCTGTTGCTGCACCGCCCCGCGCCCAGCCCGGCGGGAAGCTGCCCGTGGGGAGCCGGGGCCGAGCGGATGGGCTCTTACCTCGGTCAGTGGCCGGGGCGCGGCGCGTCCCGCGTCCTCCAAGCTCCGCGCGGCCGTTCCCGGTCCCGGCCGCCGCCGCGCTGGCTGCATCGCCACCGTTGCCGCCGCCGCCGCCACCTCAGCGCAGCCCCTGGGAGCGCTCCACGCCGAGGGGCGCGTCGCTCCCAGGCGCCGGGTGCCAGCGGCCAGCCATGGGTCGGGGGGCGCACGCCCAGGCGGCGCCCCCAGCCGCCCGGCGCTCCCTCCGGGGCTCGCCGCCGGCTGCTGCCGCTCAGTCCCGCGACGAGCGCCGCCGACCCACCCCCTCCCCCGCCGCAGTTATCTGATCCCGGGCAGGGCCGGCGCGCTCCCCTCCTCGCCGGGTGTGGGGATCCTGCACCTCTCAGCGGGCTTCGACCGCCCCGGGCACCCTCTCCCGGAGACCGTTCCCGGGGAGGCGGGGGCAGCGCGGTCGCGGCGTGGCCGCTGGGGGGGGAGAAGGGGAGCGAGGAATGGAGGGCGAGGAGGCGGCGGGAGGCAGAAGCTCTGCGCGCACCCAGCTCCTCGCCCCGCTGCCACAGTAGCCCGGCGCTCGCTCGGCAACTCCTCCAACTCTCCGCCGAAAGCACGCCCGCCCTGGGCCGCGGCGCCGCTGATCCCGCCCACCACCGCCCCGGCCTGGCCCCGTGGCCCCTCCTGGCCCCAGCTGCCCCCGACACGCACCAGCCACTTGCGCACTGGAGCGCGCGCGCGCACGAACACATGCTCGCGCGCACGCGCGTGGCACACACACCCATACACACACACACACACACACACACACACATCTTCCCGGGGACACGCGCGCACACACAGGTGCATGGCGAGCATGTACTCAGGCGACAGACAGGCAAGGGAATCTGGATGGGCTGCACGCAGCGGGATGCCAAGCTCGGCGTCACCTGCACCAAATGCATGTGATGAGGAGCGCGGTGGCTAAGGGACACAGGTGCAGTCATAGTCACATCTGCACACGTGGGTGGGATCAGTCCGCAAATCCACACAGGCGCGCTTCTGAGCTCATGCATTCCCCAGGCACAGCGTGCGCGGGGTCATAGGCACGCCCCATGCTCCTCAACATCTCTTCTTCCCATCTTGTGTTGTATTTAGCGTCCTCTCTTGCTGTCTCTGTGCTCCTCCTCCTGGCCTCTCTGCTGATTTGATTGTGGCTCCCCTCCCCTTGTCCCCTCTTGTCTGGAAGGCACCCCGGGTCCTCTGCTCTCCCAGCCTCCTGGAGCCTATTGTCTGGGCCTCACATCTCTGTCTCCTGCAGAGCCTGGGCCTTTCGGCGGGGCAGACAGATCAGCCTCGCTGACCTTAGGGAAATCCCATTTTATCATAGGGCTGCCCCCCAGCTCAACCCTAACGCTGGAGAATCAGGCCAAGAAGGCAGGTCCATGGGCAGAACGTCAGCTTCACAAAGCTCCTCAGCCCCTTGGTCTCCAGCTCCCCCATAATGTGAAATATAATTATGCATTTGAAGAGCAGAGACGCTAGAAGCAGGCTCCCAGCCAAGAAGCACCGCTTTCTGGCCACCCAGATGCCCAGGCTCTGGCAGCTCCTCCAGAACTCTGCAGAACCCACCGGCTCAGCCCCGGGGAGCCAGCTCCTCACCCAGGGCCGCAGGGTGCCCAGAAAACTCTCCCACCTCCTCAACGGAGCAAGCCTGCATGCCAGGCACTTCAACACTCAGTGTGTGCATTCCCCGGGGTCACATGGACGGTCCGGGGTCACCGAGCTCCGGAACTGTGGCGAAGGTTAAATGAGGTGAGTATATGTACAGTTCTTCACCGGGGAGGGGGCTCCAGTGACACAGCTCGTGGGTTTTGGGGGCTCGGTCTATGCTGGCCTCTGTGCTAAGGACTTAGCTAGTCATTGTGACCCTCTGGGAGGTACACCCATGGACCCATTTTACAGATAAAGAAACCGAGGCGCAGAGGGGAATAGTTGCTTATCTAGTCACAGAGATACTGATTGGGAGAGGGAGCCTCAGATGGGATCATGTCCTGAAGGCGGCCATGCCTAGGACTACAACAGAGAGAAAAATGGGTAACTCCAGGGTCGCCGTTCCCAGGCCCCCAGGCCAACCTTGGCAGGCACATGATGCCCTGATTCCCACCTTCTCCTGAGTGACCAAGAGGGAAAATGGCTCAGATGACCCTGCTCCACCTACCCAGCCCTGGTGTCCAGAAGACAGAAGCCAAAGGCAGGAGTGAGGGAAAACTCCCCCTGCCTACAAGCTTCTCTACCCTCTCAGGGACTCTACCACCAACACCCCAAAGGGCTCACGGCATGCTGGTAGACAAAGAAATGAGCGCAATGCTATGGGGCTCCATTGCAGGAGCTTGAACAGCTCCTGTAATGAGTTCAAGGAGGCCTTAGGAAAACACATGCACACACACAGGCTACTCAGCTGCTTATCTGGGCAAGGGCCTCAGAGGCCTGGAGAAAGCCAGGGATGGTGGCCTTCCCACCAGGCCCTGTTATCAGCCACATTTCATAGGTACTCCATAGGTAACAGATAGGACAAATGTCTTGTCCAAGGTCATCCGACAAAAAATAGACCCACCAGCTAAACCGCCCTGATTCCCATGGCTACTACACTACCAGACTTCACACCCCACTCTCCCGCTTGAAGCAGGGACCAACCTCACTTCTTAATCAAAATCACATCTCTTTCTAGGACACTATGAGTCTTTTACCAGGCTCATGGTCACAGCCTCCCTAAGGAGAGCACACCCATACTCAAGATACAGTGACAGAGGACAGAGGGCAGCCATACAGAAGGGCTCTCTTTAACCAGGCCCCCAGATGTGGACAGAGTGAGTCATGTCATCTCTAGCTCCAGAAAATGCATCCTGCCTCCTTCCAGAATTGGGGTGTGGGGGGTATCTAGAATGTACCCAGCCCCAGCACAAAAGTTCCCCAGCACGGAGCCCACGGACACACTGAAGTCCTTTGGCACGGAAGACCCTTCATTCTCTGTAAAACATGGATGGCCATAACCACAGAAAAACAATTTCTGCATTGCAAGGCATGGAGACAAGTCATCTTGCCACATGCATATATTCCCAGGCTGTCCCTTAATCTGAGACAATCTTCCCAGACAAGCCTCTAGCTGGGGCCTTGTCCATTTTCTCAGCCACAAGCCTGTGTGCCCTTAGAGCCTCAGGCTGAGGCAGCCAGAGGAAGCCATCAGCTCATTTGGAAACCCTTCCATGAGGACAGCAAGGACATCAAAGCCATCCAGAGAAATGCCCCCGAAGGCTTGGGTATGCTGTCTCCATAGGTAACAGTCTGAAGCGTTGGCTTCTCTGCCCAGCAGCTGCGAGCAGTTCTGATAACCAAATCCTGTGGAAATGAACGGCCCATTCTCAGCTCAGTGCCTTTGCTGGCTTGGCAGCACTTGGTGCTCCACAGGAACTCCCTCTCCAAGAAACCCAGTTAGGATTTATTTTGCCCATCCTAGATGTGGGCCTAGCCTCCACCCTCCTGCCCTCAACCCCCTCCATTCTCCCTTCCAGGCATACTGGCCATCCACCAGCCCAATCCTGTCCTGGCCACCCACTCACCATGCGGACACCAATGTTGTTTCTCTTGCTTTTCCTTCAGGACTCTCCTAGGAAAGACCACCACTAAGACAGACCTACTTCCCCTGTCTTGCTATGCCTTTTCCCCCGGTGACTGGCTTCTTGTTCACCCCGCTGACTGTCACACCAGTTCCATAAAATCAGGGACAGGTTCTTGTGTGCAGACCAGGGCAGGCACCATGGGCACGTGGATATGTTCAGAACAAGAATGATGGAAAAGTGGAGAATCCCACCCAGGAACAATTCTCCTGTTCATCCCAGGTCTCACAGACACATTTAAATCACCTGCATAATCATAGGGCTGGGCGCGCGCGCGCGCGCGCGCGTGCGCGCGTGTGTGTGTGTGTGTGTGTGTGACCATCTGGGGACCCAGCCTGACCTCCTACTCCAATTCTCACCCTGCCTCTGATAGATGCCCTGTCTAAGGAGTCAGGATAAGTGTTTGTGATAGGAGCCACAGACAGGAAGTCAAGAGGCACAAGGGGGCATTGCCTGAGCCCTGTCCACAGTCAAGTGGGAAGAGGACTATCACTCAGACTGTGAGCCACACAGTAGAGCCCAGGCCCTTAAACTAGCCTAGAGAGGCCAGCACCATTTGTCCCAAGATATGCATTGCTGACTACTGTAATAGGGATGGTTATAATGGCCAGTGCCAGCTGTGTGTCTGCCAGGCATCACCCTAGAGTTAAACACCCACCAGTCTGCGCTGGAGAGAAGGAGCAGGGGGATCCCACCCCAGTTAGACAGCAGAAGCCTAGCAAGGAAAGAGACCTTGTCTCCAGGAGAGCTGTGGGAGAAGACATGCCAGCAGGTACACACATGCCCTTCCTGGGCCCAGGCACCCATGGACTTCTGGATGAGCCAAAAGCATTGATTTGAGGTACGAACTTCAGGAACCATTACCACGCTGAGAATAGGACAGTGAGTTCATGCCCCCCCCCCCACCTGTCCGGAAGCGAACATCGATCAGCTGGCACAGCTGACAGCTACTGCTTCCCTGTGCAGGGCTAGGCCCTGGTTCTGCTCCTCTAGAGCTCTGGCTGTCAGGGGCAGCTGTTAATGCTGGGGCACAGCAACCCGGGGCCCAGGCTGAAGGCCAGGACTTTCTACCATGCTCTAGCCAAACGTGTAGGCATGAAGAGGCAGGGGTTTCAAGGCTCTTGGCCAGGCTGTGAAACTTCTAAGACATGGTACCAGTCCAAGCCCAGCCTTGACTTTGGCCCCTCTCCTGAGAGCCTTCATCATGTTCTCCTCTAGTCCTACCTCGTCCCCCACCACCTCCTTCCTGTGGGCTTCAGCCACCCAGAGGTAGCCATAAGAGGTGATCCAGGCCAGCAGGGAACACTACAGTGACGGGCTGAGGGACAAGCATGTGATCAAAGGCAACAAAAGAAAATCTTCCCCAGGATTTTTGCTGTAGCCGTAGAGGTGAGGGTGTGTGGGGTGTGT